TCCTATTCCTCACTCTCCTCCAACCAAACCCACACCACTGAATTGAATTCATAATCATAGAGCATAAATACAGATCTAAACATTTCATCTCTCAAGGAAATGGGAAAATTTTATGACAGTGGGTAGACTGCTATAGCAGTGATGGACTGGACAACTCAAGGGACTTGGGTATATGGAGTGTCTCATTGCAGTTAAAGTCAAACCAAAGGCAAAGACTTAGATCCAGCTCCCCAGTAAGCCTCATGTGGGCAGAAGTTTCCACTAACTGATTGGATTTATTTTTAACTAAATAATTTCAATGGCCTGTATTTTTTCTGTTTTTATTATTTCTGTGTTCTGCATGGCAACTTACGGATTCACATGCATAAGGGACTCTCCACATTGTAAAACATTTTAAGATATCTTCAGTACAGATCCTCATTTTGATTAATTTGTTTGGTTTACTCTAGTCTGAGAGACTCTTTTCCCCCAAGCCTTAAATAAACTTTGTGAAAGTCTGTAAAAAGTATGATAGAATTTAAAACTACTTGAACTTTGGAGTTAATTAAATATCTGTGCTAAGGGAAAATAGCCCACAGTGTTTCATAGTGTCATTTCATTCCCAGTGTTATATATTAGGTATGAAATTGCAATCTTGAATCTAATAATTAAACCCCAAGAGCATTCAGATTTAGGTTCATAATTCAGGCTGGGAAGATAAGCTTGTAAAATCCGTATTGAGGTTTGGATTTCACACTGACTCAAGGTATGCAGGTGTTCAAACTATGATATTCACATCATTTATCCTTCCTTAAAATTTGGAGTAGCCATAGTTGTCATTCTTAACATCTTTCACCTGTTCATACTATCTGGTTAGCAGATCAAGTTTGCTCAAGTTGTCAATTTTTATTCCAGGTCTTAACCTTCAAGGAGATTGTGAGTAGTTCTTTGCCATACATTGGTTTACTGTCTTACTGACTTCATACACTCCATACTGGCATGAACTGGGAAGATCTAATGGACATTACTGAGTGTAAATACATGTGGGGCAACTTACAACAATGATAAAGCAGAAAGGATGAAAGCATCTTCTGATACTGATACTGAATCTTATGTTACCTGTTGTATGCCAGAAACTAGTCTTACATGAACACTGTTGTTAGGGGTTCAGCTCCTGGAAAAGTCCTAGCTAAAATACAATTTTTCAGGGATATTCTCCATAAAGCACTAGAAGACAAACCCCCCTCATGGACTGTCGTACAGTTGTAAAATTTCTGTTAGAATCCTAAACCATTACATAGCAAACAGAGAAAACATAGATTGAGATTGTGTCTTCATAGTCAAATCTCTGATTTGGATGGACATTATTTGGATGTTACTCATGCTTCTGCTTGCCTTGAAAGTGGATTGTGTAGAAGAGGTGGCTGAAATATTCTTACTTGATTTCTTTTCCTGCTAAAATGATGTTTTCCCAAAATAGGAGTTTCCAAAGAGAGTTTTTAACTTTTTGAAATGCTGACCTGCTAGAATATCAGTCTTTTTGTTTTTTCTTATTGAGTCTTTTTTTGTTTTATTTTAATCCTTTCCCATCACACAGTCTACAGACTCAGCTCATGTTACTTGTTTCATACATTATTTTTTTTCTCATTCTGCCATCCTTTCTCTTCTTCCAGCTCCTTTTGATTTGGAGGTATTGAAGAATGGCAGAAAGAAACTGAAAAATGTCCCAAAATAATCCTGACCGTTATCTGTATATTTCATAAGGGATTAAAAGAAAGGAAGAAGAGATAGGACAAGAAGAAAAAAGACTTTCTCAGGAAAATAAAAGGAAATAAACAGATCCAAACAGTGTCGTTACCTCACTGCGTAGAAACAGATTCACATTTTTGATTTTCACTTTTTGTATATTTTTTTTGCTTAGTCCTTTTCATGTTTTCCACTATGATGCTCTATAGGGATAAACTGTCCTGTACTCACTCCCCATTGCAATGTGGATGTTATAGAGCTTATTTTTTTTACATGACACGCATGCATGCATGGACCTTCTTATAACACATGTGGCATAATAAAAAAAATGTTTTATTAAGAATAAACATCTCTTTTTCCAACAAGAAAGCAGTGATGGAACCTGAGGCTTTCAAAGGCTTTGTTACAATGACTATAAATTGCTTGTATCTCCAGAGTAGAATGTGTTTATTTTGAACTATCTTGTTCAGACTTTCATCATTCATCCTTTATCCACCAGTATCTCAAGGCAGACCTCAAGTTTTTAATTCTTTCAGAAACTCTTTATTCCATGAATTTCCTTCTCATCTTGGTGAAAGGTTCCAGGGGATAAGACTCTCCACTGTTACATAGGATCCTGCATCCAGCGTAGGGCTACAAAGATGATCAAGGGAGTGGAGCATCTCCCTTATGAGGAGCGGCTGAGGGAGCTGGGTCTCTTTAGTTTGCAGAAGAGGAGACTGAGGGGAGACCTCATTCATGTTTATAAATATTTAAAGGGTGAGTGTCACGAGGATGGAGCCAGGCTCTTCTCGGTGACAAACAATGATAGGACAAGAGGTAATGGGCACAAGCTGGAACACAGGAGGTTCCACTTAAATTTGAGAAGAAACTTCTTCTCAGTGAGGGTGACAGAGCACTGGAACAGGCTGCCCAGAGAGGTTGTGGAGTCTCCTTCTCTGGAGACATTCAAAACCCGCCTGGACGCCTTCCTGTGCAACCTCATCTAGGCGTTCCTGCTCCGGCAGGGGGATTGGACTAGATGATCTTTTGAGGTCCCTTCCAATCCCTAACGTTCTGTGATTCTGTGATTCTGTGATTCTGTGATGTCTCATAGACAGTAGAAGTTAGCTATTTTCACCAATAATTTTCAAAGGCAATTATTTTCAAAGGCAATAATTTCACCAATACACTTTTAAATGGTGAAATCAGTGGATGTACAGAGAAGAGTTTTGTTTGCTGAGGAGGTCAAGTAATTTGGCAAAGGTTATATGGTAGAACGGCGGGAGAGAATGTAAGGTTACCCAACATGCCAGGGTGCCTCTCTACATCTCTGCCTGGGAGTTGATTACCTAAGCCGAGTACCCGCTGTGAAATTGGCAGTCCCCACTTCATTCAATGCTTTACTCATTTCCCCTTTGCTTAATGTTACAGTTAACAATTTGCACCTTCTCTCTGCAATACTCCTATGTATTTAGGTGTTTGTTGAGGAAAACCCTGTTCTTGACATACCAGCTTATGTCCTCTTCATGCCTGACAGTCCCTGTTTGCCCTATCAGATATGAAGCCAGTCTTCTGTTTGCCAGACAAACAGGCTATGTATCTTTCACAATAGTGTCCTCAGACCAGTATTTGGGGTTTTGGGAACCTCAGAATTAAGGCGCTGCTCTGCTTCCAGCAGCCAAATGCTGTCTAGCAACACATCCAGTCTAGATTCCCAGTTGGTCATTTATGGTCAGAGTTTTGATGGATTTCACAAGGAGCATGAAGGATTGACCATTTCATTCATGCTGAAGGTTTTGAGCAATTTGAGGCAGGTCAAGCAAGCCCTGCACCCACTGGGGAAGTGGTAAAGTTTTCATGTCAAACTGCAAGATGAAGATAATGGCAATGCAGAGTCCATGGATACGCTGGCCTTATGGACTGTGTTGTATTTGTGCTGCAAGACATGTGAATAGGAGCAATCCCTAGTTTAGGGACTGATCCTGCAGGTTTGAACTGATTTAAAGAACCATTTATGTCTTGAAAGTAATATATTCCTCTGCTAGTAAAAGAATTAAGAATTTAATTAAATCAGAGGAGCCCCAGTGTGTGAATGGCAAGGAAGTATTGATAGCACAAGTACAAAAAATGCGGATGTACGTACCTGAGGTACTATGTCACAATGAGGTCTCTGCTGTGCTTTCATAGGATTTGTTCCCCTGCTGTACCACAGCTTGGTACAGGAGAGCATGCGTGCATACTGCACTCTCCTAGCGTGGTGTTAAGAAGTTTGACAGTGAATCTGAGGATGAATCAATAGCATCAGGCTACACTAGCCCTGACAGAAGTGTATGTGCAATACATCGACAGTGCTTCATGGCTGTGCCACAAGGGTTGGCACTGGAGGTAGTTGAGGGGTTTTTGCCCCCAGTGGAAAGTTTATCATAGAGGACACTGTAGAAAATAAAAGTTCCTTCTGTAGTAGCACTACAGGAATCTACTTTCAAGCAAGCTCACTACATTTTCTTCAACTAAAAGCTGACATCTTTAACACATTGTTAGCACTTCATGTACAAGTCAGTGGATCAGGCAGTGCGACACTGAACACACAAGGCTAGAGCAAAACACGACTCAGAACAATATTAAAGTGGGTGTCTCGTGACCACGAGAGCTCAGAAAGGATGGGAAAGGTGAGGAAATGCTGATTTCCCATTGTCCAGGTTCAAGTAGCTGGAAACCTCTGCTGCCAGAATTTCAGTGCCAAAAGCAACTTACACCTGGAGCAGAAATGGAGAATTAGTTACATGCAACCCGTGTACATCTGAATCAGTCTGTGAATTCTGCTGCTCTTCTCTATGTATCCCAAACTGCTTCTGGCTACTATGCAAAGGCGTAAGTAGTTAGGAAGTTCCTCTTTCTCTACAGATTATTTGTCCTTAGCCAGTAACACTCAGTAAATCTAACAAATCCCTTCCCCAGAAAGATTTTGGGTACCACACTTCATCTGAACAATCTGAATTGGAACAGTTTCACATCTCTTCCTCAAGCATAAGATCATTACTTTGCACTGGCATGAAGCAGTTGCATTTCTAGCAACCAGCCCACCATTCTGTTTCTAAAGGTTTCCAAAGAATTTGCTTTTCATTTTCTTTTCCTGCTACAGGGCAGCATGAACTCCATTAACAAGCTATTGTAACAATCCCACCCACCCACCTAGAATCAATGGGAGACACAGCAGGCAGCCCTTCCCTCTTAGAAAAAGCCTTGCAACAGACACAAGTAGAGGTACAAGGACAACTAAGCTTAATACAACCTCAGATTTTTGTTTTTTTAGCTGCATTCAGTGCTGCCATAGCCATGTATTCACTGTTGTACTCATGGGAGCTGGATTCACACTGCTGGTTCTGCAAACAGAGAGAAAATGCCATGAATTTAATTTATGATCACTAATCTCTGCCACTCCTGCCTTTGTTCTTTAAGTAAGGCATTTACTCTGACAGTTCTCAGTGGGAATATTAAAGTCAGAATAGACAGGCACTCATGTAGAAAACTTGGAATAAAATAAACTGAAAACGAAAAACACACATTGTCCAAAAGAATAACTAATGTCCATGGTCTTCTTTCTTTCCTGAGCCAATTGGTTCTTTATTTAAGTGGTTTTGCTCCAGAAAGGAGCTGGAATTGCTCCACTAATGATTTGTTTCCTCTTCTTGAAGAAAACAATCAGGTGAATTGCCTACCAAAGTAATTTTGCTGACCTGTGCAGCATTTGCTCACTTTCGTTTGATTCCCAGCCTTTAAATCAATAAACAGTTCTGTCTTAGAAAAATTAAATCTGAGCTGCTGTCATCAATGACTGAATTCCAGTGGTAAATTAACAACTCAGTCTCTTTGTCAAAAAACCACATCATGTGCTGAGTGAGTATGTGTCTGTCCTACCCTCTAAATCTCATTAAATCAAGTTCCCCATCCATGACCCTTGGAAGGAGGGTTGTGCAGAATCTCATAGACTTGCTTACCTTGTGCCTTAAGCAACAGGCTATGACACAGCAGATACAGGAAATCATGGCAAACATGATCAAGCCAGTAATTATCCATGACATGAGTCCCAGTGAAATGCAGTCTTCCTTATCTGGAGATGGGGAAGCAAAAAAAGTCATTACTGATAATTTGAATTTCCCCTTCCAGCCCCCCTTCTTGGAGATAGCTTTTCAAATTCTTTCCTCTGTCCTCTTATTAATAAAATGGCAAAAGCGAACTCCAGAGAAGGATTTTCCTGAGGTGAAAAGCCACCTTGAAAAGTGTTCTCAGC